GGAAGCGAGATACACAGCAGACTCATAGAATGGCAGATGTCCTAAACAGCACTCTGGCCTCAGAATCAGCCCTTAAGGCATTCGGATCTGACTGAAGAGCCCATGAGAGTATTTTAGGCATGGAAAGCCAAGACACTCTGGCAAAAAAAAAAAAAAACACACCTAAATGAAAGATCTCTGTGAGTGAGATCCCAGTGGAAAGAATGGGTGAAATAAGGAGGTACCTTTCTCTGAAAGGAGGAGAGAACTTCCACTTTGACTATGACCTTGTCTAAATAAGATCGGAGTCAGTGAACTCAAAAGGCCTCCATAGCCTTGGCAACTCATGACAAGAGCCTAGGGTAATTACTGATGCCATAAACAAGAGTGTGAATTTAAGCCAACAGGAGTCACTGTGCACTTACTCCTCATGTAGGATCTCTGTCCTTAATGTGTTGTACGATGTGAATTAAAGGTATAACTAGTACTCAAACAGAACTTACACTTTGTGTTTCTGTGTGGGTGCATGTTGAAATCTTTACTTGTGTTTACTAAATCAATCTTCTGTATATAAAGATAATTGAAAATGAATCTTGATGTGAATGGGATGGGAGAGGGAGTGGGAGATGGGAGGGTTGCAGGTGGGAGGGAAGTTATGGAGGGGAAAAGCCACTGTAATCCAAAAGCTGTACTTTGGAAATTTATATTTATTAAATAAAAGTTAAAAATAAAAATAAAAAATCAGCACATGAAACAAAAAGAAAAGAAATTGAGATCTTAAAGAGAAATCAGAATGAAATCTTGGAAATGAAGCATCCAATAGAACAAATTAAAAATGTGGTGGAAAGCTTTAACAACAGACTTGGTGAAGCAGAAGAAAGAATATCCAAGTTAGAAGAAAAATCTCTGGAAATTTAGAACTTAGATATTTGTTCAGGGAGGAATTATTTTTTTTTTTATTTTTTGACAGGCAGAGTGGACAGTGAGAGAGATAGACAGAGAGAAAGGTCTTCCTTTGCTGTTGGTTCACCCTCCAATGGCCGCCGCGGCTGGCACGCTGCAGCTGGCGCACGGCACCGATCCGATGGCAGGAGCCAGGTGCTTCTCCTGGTCTCCCATGGGGTGCAGGGCCCAAGCACCTGGGCCACCCTCCACTGCCTTCCCTGGCAGAGAGCTGGCCTGGAAGAAGGGCAACTGGGACAGAATCCAGCACCCCGACCGGGACTAGAACCCGGTGTGCCAGTGCCACTAGGTGGAGGATTAGCCTAGTGAGCCGCGGTGCTGGCCTCAGGGAGGAATTATTTACCACAGATGTTATTTAGAGGGGCCAGCTCATATGATAGTAAAAAGCAGGCTGCATTTTATTCTGTTTTAATATCACTTTAATTTCTCTCATTACCCACATGCTGCTGGAAGATTCCCAAGTCCCACTCTCAGAATCCCATGCCTTCTGTGAAGCATTACAGTCAGACCAAAAAAAAGAGCAGAAGAAGAAGAAATTAGAAAACTAAAAGCACTGTGGGAAATACATGATATATATAAAGTGATATAATATATTAAAAATAATATATAATTTATGAGTATAAATATATGCAATTTATATTACATTACAATTCATATTCTAATTATGTATAAATATGTATTATGCAAAACTACTCATCCATAAGAAAAGAATGAAATCCTGTCTTTTGCAACAAAATGCAATTGAAAACCAAGCTTAGTGAAATAAGCCAGTTCCTAAAAGACAAATACCATATGTTTTCACTGATCGGTGGTAACTAATAGAGTAAATTGTATTCTATAGTAGTGAAAATTACATTTTGAGATTCAATGATTGTTTATAGCCATTGTCTCTACTGTCAAGGAACAGTGTTTTGTTCTCCGTTCTTTATGCTGAACTCTTTAGTTACTGTAGGGATAATCTTATATGTATAAAGTAAACTGGAAAAAGATCATTGTAAAAATTAAGAGAGGAAGGAGCAGGAAGGGTGGGAGTGTGGGCAGAAGGGAGGGTAGGATGACAAATATCACTATGTTCCCAAATATGTGTGATACATTATATGAAATGTGTTTACCTTAAATTCAAAAAAATTTAAATGTGCTATTTAGTTGTTGGACTCTGTATCCCCTGCGAATACACTTCTCAGAAATATTATTTGGATTCAAATGTGTAAGATTTCTCTGATTCTCGGCGCCACAGTTCACTAGGCTAATCCTCCACCTGCGGTGCCAGCACTCCATGTTCTAGTCCCAGTTGCGTCACCGGATTCTGTCCTGGTTGCTCCTCTTCCAGTCCAGCTCTCTGTTGTGGCCCAGGAAAGCAGTGGAGGATGGTCCAAGTGCTTGGGCCCTGCACCCGCAAGGGAGACCAGGAGGAAGCACCTGGCTCCTGGCTTCAGATCAGCGCAGCATGCTGGCTGTAGCAGCCACTTGGGGGGTGAACCAACGGAAGGAAGACCTTTCTCTCTCTCTCTCTCTCTCTCTCTCACTGTCCACTCTACCTGTCAAAAAAAAAAAGATTTCTCTGATTCTCTATCTTCTTTTCTTTATTTGAATACATATATAAATTAATACTTCCTCCATTTTTACATGAATGTTATCTCCAAGATTTCTATAATAATAGTTTATCATTATGTATTACATCTCAAACCTACAGAGATTACAGGATAGGAGAAACGCCTCACAAAAGACATGGGATTCTGAGGGTGGGACTTGGGAATATTTCAGCAACATGTGGGCAATGAGGTGGTGTGCGTTGGCTGAGAGAATTTGAAGTGATAATAAAACAAATTAAAATGCAACCTGCTTTTTACTATCAGTATGAACTGGCCCTTCTAAATAACACCCATGATCAAGTATTCCTCCCTGAATAAAAAGCTACATTCTAAATGTTCACTACAGTGACCAGGTACCTGGACAGGTCCATCCCAGTGCCCTGTCCCTGAAACGCCCCTGACTCCACGCAGTCACGTAGGAACCCAGGCCTTTCCAATGAGTGGATCCATGTATCTTAGGGCCTGAAGGTTTCCTCGGTCTCTCCATGTGGTGGCAGATAAGGAGGAGGCTTTATGCCCGTACCTAGAAGTGAAGGCTGTCAGCTTCCCCACATTCCACTGGCCTGAACTCAGCCAGTGGTCATGACCCATGGACATCATAGCTTAGCTAAGTGTCCCTTAAAAACAAAAAAGGAATGAATAAATTGGTCTCTACTTTCTATTTTTTTAACATTTAGTTATTTATTTGAAAGGCAGTGATAGACAGAGAAAAATGTCGGGAGGGATAGAGAGATCTATCTACAGGATCATTTCTCAATGGCAGCAAAGACAAAGGCTAGGCCAAACCAAAGCCAAGGACCTGGAACTCCATCCAGGTCTCCAATGTGGGTGACATGGACCCAAGTACTTGGACAATCTTCAGCTGCTTTCCCAGGAGCATTAGCAGGAATCTGCATTGAAAGCAGAGCAGCTAGAACTCAGATCAACCTTGGATTTGGGATGCTGGAATTGCAAAGGAGGGTTTAACCAATTATGTCACATTGTTGGCCCCTACTTTGTACTTTAACATCTTTAGGTTGTATATCACAGAATAGTTTGAAAATTGTTAGTCCATGTCAGAAGACACCATCTTTTATGTCTATTCCTGTCAACCTCAGCAAGAACTAGAAAAGAAAATATATTTACTACAACTTCCATTCATAGGCAATTGCCACCCTAGTCACCCTAGACTGAGAAGTGATTTAATTCCAATGTCACTTTTACTTCCTCAAGATGTGATACTCACCCAAATTCACATACACCTGTTAGAAGCACAGTAGGCCGGCGCCGCGGCTCAATAGGCTAATCTTCCACCTAGCGGCGCCGGCACACCGGGTTCTAGTCCTGGTCGGGGTGCCGGATTCTGTCCCGGTTGCCCCTCTACCAGGCCAGCTCTCTGCTGTGGCCAGGGAGTGCAGTGGAGGATGGCCCAAGTGCTTGGGCCCTGCACCCCATGGGAGACCAGGAGAAGCACCTGGCTCCTGGCTTCGGATCAGCGCAGTGCGCCAGCCGCAGTGCGCTGGCCACAGCGTGCCGGCCGCAGCAGCCATTGGAGGGTGAACCAATAGCAAAGGAAGACCTTTCTCTCTGTCTCTCTCTCTCTCACTCTCCACTCTGCCTGTTAAAAGAAAAAAAAAAAAAAAGAAGCACAATAGGCCGGCACCACGGCTCACTAGGCTAATCCTCCACCTGCAGCGCCGGCACTCTGGGTTCTAGTCCAGGTTGGGGCACAGATTCTGTCCTGGTTGCTCTGCTCCTGTTTCAGTCCAGCTCTCTGCTCTGGCCCAGGAGGGCAGTGGAGGATGGCCCAAGTGTACCCGCATGGGAGAGCAGGAGGAAGCACCTGGCTCCTGGCTTCGGATCAGCGCAGCGTGCCGGCCATAGTGACCATTTGGGGGGTGAACCAACGGAAGGAAGACCTTTCTCTCTGTCTCTCTCTCTAACTCTGCCTGTCCAAAAGAAGTAGAAGAAGAAGGAGAAGAAGAAGAAGAAGAAGAAGAAGAAGAAGAAGAAGAAGAAGCAGCAGCAGCAGCACAGTAGAATGATTCATTTATGTCGGCACCAGTGTTGCTCTCCACTCTTCTGTTCTGGCCATGCCCTGCATTTTCTGCATAGTATTTGCAAAACTGGGCTGGGAGAGGGAAACAGCAGAGTCATATCCACAGAGTCCCCTCCCCTGTTCTCTTTTTGCCATAAATTATGGGCAATGGTGAGCAGGTTCAGAGTAGACATAAAGACTGTGATGGGTGGAATTTTCTGAGCATGACTCACCCTCAGAAACTGAGTCGATCACATGTGACATCATGGCAAGGAGGGAGGAAAAGTGCTTTTCCATGGAAGAACCACTGCTTGAACTACAGACTGTGAAGGAAGAAAGCTTAATGGAGTCTTCAAACCCAGACCCTCGACTCCTTTCATGCATGGTGATAGGTGAGCCCCTTAAACCTCCGTTTCCATGGGAGAACAAAAAAGCACCTTTAGTTTTTTGCAGCAGGTTTATTAAAAGGAAATGCATTTGAGGTTTCAACAATTATCTTGCAGTTTATGGATAAAAGGACAGAAAAAAAAAAAAGACACGTCATCGCTGGCGGTAATCAGCAGTCGGTTTTTTAGTCCAGTCTGTAGTCCTCTGAGCCAAACGTCTTGTCAGAAGTTATAACCCTTTACAAAAAGGGCTATTATATACCGTTTCCTGGAAAACAAAAACAGAGATGTCACTTAGTTTTTCAACTCTCTCTTGCAAAGTCAAATATGGGCACTCAAGACTTTTATTATTATTGTTTTCCTGAATTTTTAAAAAAGCATATAATACAGACCTAAATAGACATTTTTCAAAAGAGGAAATCCAAATGGCCAACAGACACATGAAAAAATGTTCAATATCACTAGCCATCAGGGAAATGCAAATTAAAACTATAATGAGGTTCCACCTCACCCCGGTTAAAATGGCTCACATACAGAAATCAACTAACAACAGATGCTGTCGAGTTTGTGGAGAAAAAGGCACATTAACCCACTGTTGGTGGGAATGCAAACTGGTAAAACCACTATGGAAGTCAGTCTGGAGATTCCTCAGAAACCTGAATACAGCCCTACCACATAACCCAGCCATCCCACTCCTTGGAATTTACCCAAAGAAAATTAAATTGGCAAACACAAAAGCTGTCTGCACCTCAATGTTTATTGCAGCTCAATTCACAATAGCTAAGACATGGAATCAACCTACATACCCATCAAAGAAGACTGAATAAAGAAATTATGAGGTATGTACACTATAGAATACTATAAAAATAAAAATGCTATAAAAAATAAAAATACTATAAAAAAAGAAATCCTATCATTTGCAACAAAATGGAATAATCTGGAAAACATCATGCTGAGTGAAATAAGCCAGTCCCAAAGGGACAAATACCATATGTTCTCCCTGATCGGTGACAACTAACTGAACACCTAAAAGGAAACCTGTAGAAGTGAAACTTACACTATGAGAAGCAGTGACTTGATCAGCCCTTGACCTGTCGAGGAACAGCTTGCTATTTCATTCTTTTTAGTATTCTTTTGTTCTACTTAATACCATTGGTTGAACTCTTTAATTAACACACAGTTATTCTGTAGTGTTTAAATTTAACTGAAAATTGATTCCTGCTAAAAAGAAGAGTGGGTGGCTGTGGCTTGGGAAGGCAGTGGAAGATGGCCCAGGTCTTTGGGCCCCTGCACCCATGCGGGAGACCCAGAGGAGGCTCCTGGCTCCTGATATCGGATCGGCACAGCTCTGGCCATTGTGGCCATCTGGGGAGTGAACCAGCAAATTGAAGACCTCTCTCTCTGTCTCTACCTCTCTCTACAACTCTGTCTTTCAAATAAATAAAATAAATCTTTAAAAAAAGAGGAGTGGGAATAAGAGAGAGAGGAGACATACAGTTTGTCACACTCTCACGTGGACTTACCCTTAATGGTAGAGCTTAGAAAGGTGCCATGGAACTCCAAATTCCATTAAGTTGGCAGGTACCAGTGCCATCTTACTAGTTTAAGTGATCAGTTTATGTTCATAATTGATCATAAAGATAGGATTAAGTGTCAAAGGAATCACATAAATAAGACCAATGTCTGCTAATAATAATTGATATAATAAAAAGGAGAGAACGGCCCAACATGGGAAGCAGGATACACAGCAGACTCATAGAATGGCAGATGTCCTAAACAGCACTCTGGCCTCAGAATCAGCCCTTAAGGCATTTGGATCTGGCTAAAAGCCCATGAGAATTTCTCAGGCATGGAAAGCCAAGACATCATGGCAAAAAAAAAGACCTAAATGAAAGATCTCTGAGTGAGTGATCCAACATGGGAAGTGAGATACTCAGCAGACTCATAGAATGGCGGATGTCCTAAATAGCACTCTGGCCTCAGAATCAGCCCTAAAGGCACTCGGATCTGGCTGAAAAGCCCATGAGAGTATTTCAGGCATGGAAAGCCAAGACACTCTGGCAAAAGATCTCTGTGAGTGAGATCCCAGTGGAAAGAACAGGTCTTCAAAGAGGGAGGTGCCTTTCTCTGAAGGGAGGAGAGAACCTCCACTTTGACTATGACCTTGTCTAAACAAGATAAGAGTCGGAGAACTCAAGGGGCTTCCATAGCCTTGGAAACTCATGACTGGTGCATAGGGAGATTACTGATGCCATAAACAGGAGTGTCAATTTGTAAAGTCAACAACAGGAGTCACTGTGCACTTACTCCTCATGTAGGATCTCTGTCCTTAATGTGCTGTACACTGAGGCTTAATGCTATAACGAGTACTCAAACAGTATATTTCACTTTGTGTTTCTATGGGGGTGCAAACTGTTGAAATCTTTACTTAATGTACACTAAACTGATCTTCTGTTAAAAAAAAAAAAAAAGAAACTATCAATTCCCAACTTGACTCTCACTGGGATTAAACATGACAATAGGTCTGATCTGATTTCATCATCATATAAAAAAAATCATCTATTATTTTTCACTTTATGTTTCTGTGTGGGAACAAACTGTTGAAATCCTTACTTAAGGTATAATAAGCTGATCTTCTGTATACTAAGATAATCGAAAATGAATCTTGATGTGAATGGAAGGGGAGAGGGAGTGGGAAAGGGGAGGGTGGTGGGTGGGAGGGACGGTATGGGGGGGAAAGCCATTGTAACCCATGAGACGTACTTTGGAAATTTATATTCATTAAATAAAAGATAAAAAAAAAAAGATTCAAAAAAAAAAAGAAAGATCTCTGAGAGATCCCAGTGGAAAGAAGGGGCCATCAAAGAAGGAGGCACATTTCTCTGAAGGGAGGAAAGAACTTCTACTTTGATTATGACCTTGTCTAAATAAGGTCGGAGTTGGTGAACTCAAGAGGCTTCCATATCCTTGGCAACTCATGACAAGACCCTTGGGTGATTACTGACATCATAAATAAGAGTGTCAATTGTTAAGTCAACAACAGGAGTAACTGTGCACTTATTCCCCATGTAGGATCTCTGTCTTTAGTGTATTGTATTATGCAAATTAACAGTAAAACCAGTATTCAAACAGTACTTTATACTTTGTGTGTCTGTGTGGGTGCAATCTGTTGAAATCTTTACTTAGTATATACTAAGTTGATCTTCTGAATATAAATATAATTAAAAATGAATCTTAATGAAGGATAGGATGGAAGAGGGAGTAGGAGATGGGATGGTTTATGGGTGTGAGGGAGGTTACGGGGGGGGGGGGATTCACTATAATCCAAAAGTTGTACTTTCGAAATTTATATTTATTAAATGAAAGTTTTCTTTAAAAAAGCATATAATATCCAAGAGAGTGCTGAAAGCAAAATCAGATTATCTACTGACATGTTCTATCATTCCAAAGACATCCATTGATGCCAAAGATGTGCTGCTATTTCTGAATCTTTTCTCCAACAAGGACAACTTTTTTTTTCTTTTTTTATTATTTAATAAATGTGAATTTACAAAGTGCAAGTTTTGCATTGTTGTGGCTTCCCCCCCAACCTCTCTCCCTCCCGCGGTCCTCCCCTCTCCCACTCCCTCTCCCATCCTGCCCTTCATCGAGTTTCATTTTCAATTACCTTCATATACAGAAGATCAACTTAGTATACACTAAGCAAGGATTTCAACAGGCTGCCCTCACGCACAAGGTATACGGTATTGTTTGAATAGTAGTGTTGTTTTTAAGTTTCATAGTAAAGCACATTAAGGACAGAGATCCTACATGGGGAGCATGTACCCAGTGACTCCTGTTGTTGATTTAACAATTGGCACTCTTATTTATAATGTCAGCAATCACCCAAGGCTCTTGCCATGAGCTGTGTAGGCTATGGAAGCCCCTTGAGTTCACCAACTCTGAACTTGTTTAGTCAAGGCTGTATAACAGTGGAGGTTCCTTCCTCCCTTCGGAGAAAGGCGCTTCCCTCTAACAAGGACAACTTTAACACTTCCTTTTCCAACTTCAGTAAATATTCTGGACTTATTTGTTGAAAACCTGCCAGTTCTAACTATTCTGTATCACTTTTCAACACAGAATTATTAAAATCTAGCTCAAATGAAAAAGATGTGATTTTTTTAGTTCCTCTATGACCTTAAAAGTCAGAAAAGTTGCAAACTGAAGGCCTCCACAGTTAATTGTGCCCTACAACATATTGGAGCTCAATGCCATGAATGATTCATCTCAGCTGGGCTTTAAACACAAAGTAATCGCACGATTCTCAAGTGCAGGTGGTGTTTAATTTATCCTGATGGCTTTGGTTTATTTCTAAATTTCTCCCAGAGAATGCCTCAGATAAATTATTAGGATATTAAACAAAATATTTATAAACTAAATGATATTTATTTTTAAACAGAAAGATATTAATATACTATTGATTTCTGTTTTAAATAATCCCATACCAATCGTGGTTTTTGAACTTTATTTAAGTTATACAAGTTTTATATATTTCATATATACAGATTTAGGAACATAGTGGGACTTCCTCCCCTATCCTCCTGTCACAACTAGAAACCATTGCACTCAGTGACATAATCCAGTCCCAGAAAGACAGATATCATATGCTTTCCCTGATCCTATGTAACTAATAGAATACCTGAAATGCAATTGTTGGAGTGAAATAGACATTTTGAGAATAGATGATTATTTATAGCCTTTGTCTCTTCCATTGAGGAATGATGGCATTTCCATAATAAGGATCTATTCTAGTTACCTCCTGGGTGTTCAGTGAAAGAGTTCAAGGTTTTCAAACTAATGTGCTAGCAAGCTTGGTTGCTTAGGAATACACTTAATTTGTTTTAATTAAGTACATAGACTATTACTCAAATGATATTTTCTAGATTCTGAAAGGAAGAATGAAGGACAGTGGGAGCAAAGGAGGGTGGGGTGGAGTGTATCATTATGCTCTTAAATCTGTATATATAAAACACATGAAATTTGTCCCCCTATTAGAAATTTTTGTATGCTTATGGATGTTTTTCTTATTGGCTTCTTAGAAAGGGGTGGACCTGTTTTGTTGTTTATCCCCTACAAGTGAGTGCATCCTGAAAAGCAGGTGATTTCTCTTCATAGAGAACATGTATGTGTGTATGTGAAAGTGTGTTAGTGTGTGTGCATGTTTGTGTGTGTCTCCTAGAGAGCTGAGAGGTAAATGGGCCATTTCCTGACCTTTCCCTCCTTTTGCTT